AGTTTCTTAGAGTATAATTTCATGAAAAAAATTCATATTTACATATAAAAAAAAATAAAAACAAACAAAAAATCATATCCATTAAAGGGATCGTTCACCCAAATGAAAAAAAAGAAAAAAGAAAGATTTCTTTCTAAAGCTGCTTTTTGTAATATCTGTTTCATGCTTTTCTCATGTAACATAATAATGGTTTTAAAAAAAACTTTTGGGGGTGATTTCTCAGCCAAATTAGATTTTTATTTTTTTTATTGAGAGACAAAATTGAATTTTCACATTGAACTTGTGTAAAAATCATTAGTCACACCACAGGATAATTTAAATGAACTGCACATAAGCTAAAAGTAATAATGACCTAAAATCAAGAAATGGTGACCTTAAAATATTCTATTAAAATATTATTACATAATATAAATATAAAATATAATATTCTAAATTGAATATATGTGTGTGTATACAATATATGTGTGTGTATACATGTGTATATATATATATATGCATTTATCTATGCATTAATCTATCTATCTATCTATCTATCTATCTGTGTGTGTGTGTGATAAATTGTATATTGTCATTTTCATGCATTTACATGTGTGTAAAATTCATTTAATCACACCCATGACAATTTAAACAAATTGCAAATAAGTTAAAAGCAAGAAGTTATCATTAATTTATAGTTATTGTTCGTTTGGATTTTGAATTTTTTTATATTATTTTATTTACATATACAGCAGTCACATGTTCGCACATATTTGGCTGAATGTATGTTCCTCATGATCTTAAAAAAACATTTGATTTTTATGCCTAAATGTATGAAATGACTTTGGAGATCTATAAATTGTGCCTAAATATAAATATAAATAGATATAAAGACACAAAACCCTTGCTGGTTAAGCTAGTTAAGAAGTGTGACCAGCCAAACAGGCGAACGCTGCTTTCTCAAGGCTCAGGCCTGTTATTTACCCCAAGCCCACGTTATTTGTAGCAAATAGCTATCAAGAGTTTTGCAATAGCTTTCAGAGGATTAGGATCCAGTTCTGCTGCTTGTCTTTTTGCACGTGGTGAAGTATATTTGAACAGCGATGCTCATATCTCCGCAGCACACATTTGTGTTTCCACACCATATCAAGGGCTTTATGCGACTGATCCCGGTTCAGTCAGGAGTGCCATTTTAACGCCGCGCAAACATTCCAGAACTCATTCACTTTCCAGTGTTTTGCCTGGGCTTAGGATGTTTGTATCCAGAAAGGATCACATTGGCTAAGTGGGTCCAAAAGCAGCATACACCTCTCCAAATACAATTGAGCTGCAAAAACGTCCCGTAAACGCAAATGGCCATGAGAAAACAAGATATGACCATATCTTTGTACTGTTACTGTAGCATCTGTGTGCTGAGAACCACTGACATAGATGAATTAACTGTCTAAAAGCAACATAATGCCCCTCAAATTTAAAGCTGCAGTCCGTACGTTTTGCCTCACTGTCGCCATCTCTGTGTGTGGAATTATCTAGTTTACATGGGTTGTGAGTCGGCACGGCTCCAGCGCGGATGAATCTAATGTTCTGAAGAGTATGTGTGGCAGTCAGTCACCGCAATGGTGTGGATATTTACTGTACTTGGCAATCACAGATTCTATATGTCTTGGAATATGACAGGATCCTCACATGCGATAGCCTAGCAGCCGGGACAACTTCTTTATGTTTACAGACGTGACGTAATGACACACTTTAATCTGAAAGTGGAAGATTTACTAGTGGAGCATGTATCGCCTTACTCATTCAGCAATTGCTAATAAAAACATTTATTGAATTAGCTAGTTATGGTTAGTTAAGTTTACAGTTGAGATTATATGATAATTTTAAGTGTAAAAATTTTAAATGTACGAGTACGTTAGCGTACTAACTCATAAGAGCGATTAACATCTAAAATAAAAATCTGCCAGTTCTGCTTAATTCAACTTTGCATTTCTTAACTTAATTTTTTTTTGATGCAACTGATTACCTCAATTTTTTAAAATAATTTTGCCAACTTATTCGGGTTCACAGTGACTATAACAACCACCGTGAAGTCTTGATTTTCTCATTTGTAAAAAGCATTAAACAAATTCATTAACAGTTCTTTTTCTGTTTTGTCTGTGTAGCCAGAATATGACATGCAGTTTCACAAAAACATTTTTACAGTATATATTCTATTAATCAACATTAATAATCATTATAACTATATCAGCAGCGAATAATGTTTTTTTTTTAATATATATATATATATATATATATATATATATATATATATAATTTATATTGCAGGTCTACCCTGTAATGAATTCCTGTTTTTTTATATATATTTATAATTTACAATTTATTTCTATTTTTACTGTAGGCTTATTACATTATGCAATTGTTGTGTAAATACATGTTTGCCACCTCCGCATTAAACAGTCTGTGTAAATACACATAATGGCATATCAGATGCTTCAGTTCCTTGCGGTGTAAAGATGGCTGTTGTTGATAAAAATTTTATAGGTAACAGTCTAGAGTATTTTGATTGATTGGAGTAACGCGTTAAAATTAAACATTTGACATAAAAGACAATGAAGACACATTTAATGGTGTAATAATAAAAAAATGCCGCTATGAAGGTAAAAATGCCCCTTGAAATCAATTCCAGAAATAGAAATAGAAAAAAATCATTTCTGGCCCTGCACTGATGTGATTGGGATTGTGTTGTAATTACCAGGCCAAGTCCAAGTTATCGGTAACATGTAAGAAATTTCATGCTCTATTTCACGTCCAAAGGTTAAAGAATGGAGTCTGTCATCTTTTTAATTTTGCGTTTGAACATCTATTTCCCTTGCCTCAGGGAAATCTGAAAATGAAGCCAAGGAACTGCAGAAATAAAACATGGAGAAGAACACCTTGAAGTGTCTGAACACACACACACACACACACACACACACAGTATTGACCAGAGTGATCTAATTATAGACTACATGGCAAAAACAACCGCTTCTTAATCAGTAATTCTGTCTGGTTTCCAAGACAATATATCTGACCATGCTCAAACAAGATAAATATATTTGAGAAGCATAAGATATTAAGATCTTTATTTTTCTTTCTCGACTGGCAAATTGTTTTCTCATGGTTTAAACCTCAAGTTTGGCCAGATTTGGGCTTGAAAAATGAGAAACAGTTTGCCAGTGGGGTAAGATACAGTATATAAATTTAATCCAAAATTAGTCCTTTCAATCAATTTATAAAGATCTAATTAATTACATGATATGCCATTTAACTTATTGATTTAATTGCATACGTTAATATTTAAGACAATTCAATATTGTGGCAGACAAAACCTACAGCTGAGTTTAACTATCTGTCTGAAGTAGACTTTTTTTGCATTATATTTAATACTTAATTGCACTAGCTTCTTAAATTGACAGCCAAATGAAATATATATTCTCTTATGCAGTTTGATCTCAAACACGTTTATCTTGTTTTTAAATCTATGCAATTTCTTTAAGTGTGCAGCTTGGATATTGTATTTCATTTTATTATGTCTATTGCTTGTTTATAATGTCTGTTGCTGGTTTTTGCATATTAATGCTGCAAAAATGATAAGATGTAAGAAAAATAAACTTGTTTTACCTTTTAAATTAAGTTTATTTATCTCACCCCATTGGCAGATATTTTTTCTTGTTTTAAGCATAAACTCACTTCATTTTTGCTACCTTTTTCAGAAATTCTTCTCAAGTAAACGTATCTTGATTTAAAGGATTAGTTCACTTCCGGAATAAAAATGTCCTGGTCATTTACTCACCCCTATGCCATCCGAGATGATCATGTCTTTCTGTCTTCAGTCGCAAAGAAATTGAGGTTTTTGAGGAAAACATGCCAGGACTTTTCTCCAAATAATGGACTTCAACGGGGACCAACAGGCTGAAGGTCCAAATTGCAGTTTCAGTGCAGCTTCAAAAGGCTCTACACGATCCCAGCTGAGGAATAAGAGTCTTATCTAGTGAAATTATCAGTGATTGTCTTACAAAAATAAAATTGATACTTTTTAACCACAAATGCTTATCGTGCAATTTGGACCTTCAACCCATTGGTTCCGACTGAAGTCCATTATATGGAGAAAAATCCTGGTATGTTTTCCTCAAAAAAGGAAGAAAGACAGAAGACAGAAAGACATGAACATCTTGGATGACATGGGAGTGAGTAAATGATCAGGAATTTTTTATTCTGGAAGTGAACTAATCCTTTAAGAATATTTAACGGTTTTGTGCTTGGGGAAACGGCATGTCATATTCTGGCTACACAGACAAACATGCCTAGTCTAGCGCATGTTATGCAAAAACTCCCGTTATAATCACTGAAGCTACAAAATTAATCTCTTAATACTTTTCTGCACTTCATTGTTTTTGGATGAGAATTCGCAAGCGCACATTTTCAGAGCTGACTAATCTAAACGCCTCTGATTGGCCATAGCGTTCACAAGCTCAACAGAAACGTGCGTGATTGGTTAGAAGGCTCAACGCTGTATAAAACAACACGTAAAAAAGCAATCTGATGCAACAGAAGCTGATCTAAATGTAATTCCACAAATTGACACTTTTAACATTTCATTTTTATCACGACAGTCATAATAGATTTAGTGTAATTATGCAGGGGCAATTTTTGCCCCTTTATCTTACATTTGTGGGGCATTTTTGTTCAAGCCCTTGTTAATTTCCGACCACGAATTTAACATTAGACCTTAAATTTTGATGCTAGATTCACTGGTTTTATGTAGAATTGTTCTATAGTCTACAGTATTTCATGCAATTACATAAGAAATTAAATTACAGAAAAATTCAGCGTAATCCCTTACTTTTTCAAGAGAAAAGTAATTAATTTACTTGGTAATGAATTACATCCAACACTGCTTCTAAATATATAGAATCAAGTGCTTGTATTCTGACCTCATTTGTTCTGCATGTTTTTGCATCTTCATCTTAGTAAGCGTTGCTCACCTTCACAGTGCTTCCCGTCGCCTTTGTATCCTGATTTGCAAATGCATTTGTATGACTTGAGGGTGTTCTGACAGATGGCATCCATACTGCAGCTGTCCAGGGCCTCGGCGCACTCGTCCACATCTGCTGAGAGAAAGGAAATCAAGAGGCTTTGAGTCGCTATTTGGAGAAAAACCGACACGTTTTCGCCTTGGGCGAGTAAATCGAAACAGTCAAGCGAAAAGCTGCTGATTCAGCATGGCAGAGCAAATTCATTTCACAATTCCACTGAAAACCTGGTCAGAGGAGGAGAGACGACAAACGGGCAGAACTGATCCCAGTTCAGACGTGATTGTGAGGTCTTCAGCATCTCATATTGCTGTGACCTCTGGGATCGAAGACAAACTCCTTCAGCAGCGCTCTGGCATTTCCTGCAGTCGAACTGCTGCTGCTGCTGCTGCATATTGCCTTAGCCTGACAACAAAAACACATTCTGTCCTGATAAAGGTCAATGAGGTTGTCATGGTTACTCTAACAAAAGACCATCTTTTAATACTCTTCTTGTTCAGGAAGTATAAGAATCTAGTTTGACGTCGATCATGGATTAAATGGGTTATTGTTAATGAAAAACTCAACAGCATGATGCTAGGTTGATGTGGGTGGTTGCTAAGGTGTTTTGAATGGTTGCCAGGGTGTTGCTATGCAAATGTTAAGGTGTTTTGGGTGGTAGGCCAGGTGTTGCTGTGCAGTTGCTAAGATGTTTGGAGTGATTGCCAGGGTGTTGCTATGCAGTTTTTGAGATGCTTTGAATGGTTGCCAGGGTGTTGCTCTATGCAGTTGCTACGGTGTTTAGAGTGGTTGCCAGGGAGCTACTAAAGTGTTTTGAGTGGTTACCAGTGTGTTGTTATGCAATTGTTAAGGTGTTTTGGGTGGTTGGCCAGGTGATGCTATATAGTTGCTAAGATGCTTTGAGTGGTTACCAGGATGTTGCTATGTAGGGCATTATTATGCGTTTTCGTTGGTTACCAGATCATGCAGTTTTGGATGGTTGACAAGGTGTTACTTTGCATTTGCTAAGGTGTTCTGAGTGGTTTCCAGGCTGTTGCTATGCAGCTGTTATGGATTTTCTGGGTGATTGCCAGGGCATGGTTACGCAGTTGTTAAGGTGTTCTGGCTGGTTGCCAGAGCATTACTATGCAGTTTCTAAGGTGTTTTGAGGGGTTGCCAAGGTGTTCTGGATAGTTGACAGGGTGTTGCTACACTGTTGCTAAAATGTTTTAAATGGTTTCCAGGGCACTGCAAAGGTGTTTTGAGTGGTTGGCAGGGAGTTGCTATGCAGTTTCTAAGATGCTTAGAGTGGTTGCCTGGGCATTGCTATGCAGTTGCTAAGGTGTTCAGAGTGGTTGCGTTTTTGTTCGTTGCCAGAGTGTTTCCATGCACTTATTAAGGTGTTTCAGATGGTTGCTAGGGTGTATGGAAGAAAGTTTCCGCCACTGAATAAAAAATTAAAAAGGTAATTGCGACTTCCGATCTCTCGAACACTGATACAAATGCAAGTTTTGCAGAAGGTTTTTTCAATAACAACCTAAATTTCAGTCAGTTCATTGGAAAATGCATGCTTGAAAAAGTGCATGAGTCTGCTGTTTCGTTTTTAGGTGAACTATTCATATTAAGAGATGGAGTGATATAGGATCAGATCTTACAATGCACTTAAAAACATGGAAAAACCGAAAACCGCTTGCAGTTTAACAAAACTGCTTGGTTTGATATAAAATGAACACCAATAAAAGTTATTTTATTGGGGAATGTTAATTTAGCCATGGCTAAAGTTCATTGTGAACGAACAACAAGTCTTTACACTTTTGTAAATGAGAAAACAGTCTTTAACACAAAGGTCAGATCAATTCAACCCTACTATAGCTGGAAAATGATACATCATTTATTTAATGGAGGAAGGCTGGAAACTCCTAAATGATTTCAAAGACAAATTGCAACCGTATTCCACATGCAAACCAATTACCCACAATCCAATAACCACACAACACAACCACTCAGATTCATTAGTCATAATCGTGCTTATGCAATACAGACAATTATATTAATTAGCCATTTTATATAACAGAACTAATGAGATTACAGTCTGGTTAGCTTGGTCTAGTTAGTCCACCATAGCGCAGTTACAAACTCTACCAGCAGGAGCAAAACCCTGACACCTGTGAAAACTCTAGTCAATCGCAATCAATCAGATTCATTGACCACAATCGCATATCTACAACAGAGCCAATCAAGACCCATTACCCACAATCACGGATCGCACAGCAGAACCAAAAAGACCAATTAGCAATCACGCTTGCACAGCAAAATCAATCAGCGTCTCTATTCAGTCCCAGAAGAACGAAAACAATTTCTCATGTAATAAAATGAGCGAAACAGACTCTTTATTACTGCTAAATCAATCACAATGAGCCCAAAGCGCTCGGGTGGTTGTAAACCCAAATGCTGTTTTACAGAGAAAATAAACATGCCACTGTTAATCTGTCTATGAGTTTAGAGAACGAGAGAAAACTAACTGCACTGAAAATATGTAGGCTGAGAAATTTTTTTAAGAGATATTTCACCCAAAAATGAAAAGTTTGCCTTCTTTCATGTTGTATGTACGATTTTTTTTTCTTTCCTCCAATTTTTAAAGCAAGTGTTGTTACTGTTAACTAAGGAGGCAACACCATTTTCAACTAAAATGGAAACCTTTTATGCATTTTGGCCATTCATTTACACGACAATGGCGTTTTGGGGGCCTGAAAATGCAAACTTTTGAAAATGATGGCGTTATCGTTTCTGTGTGAACTACAGAACGCAAATTTGTGAAAATGGTTTCGTCATGCGCATGCGTATTACGTGTTCAGTCTATACTCATGTGTGCAGGTGCGTAGTGTTTCTATACAAAGTGACATCGCCAACTACTGGCCTGACATAAATAATACAGCAGTTTCAGACAGTTTTGTGAATCCATGTGAACGAGGATCATTTTGACAATGTTGGCGTCTGTACGCGAAACTTTTCAAACACGAAAAGTACATAGTACATAGTTGTCGTCTAAATGTACTCTAAAACTATTAAAAATATTTTTTTGTTAATTGAAATAAAGCTGAAATAAAGCAGTGTTGTTACTGGTAACAATCCAAAACTATGAAAAATTGATTCCGTTAATTAAAATGGAGCCAAAATAAAATAAGTTATATATAAGGTGAAAATCTTAATCACGTAAATGAATATTAGAAATGTTGTGGCACTAACAGAAATAAAATATGTACTAAAATTACTAAAACTGAAATAGAATAGAAATTAAAGCTAAATAGAAAAAACACTAAAACAAACTAAAAGTAATGAAAAGTACATAGTACATAGTTGTCGTCTAAATTTACCCTAAAACTACTAAAAATATTTTTAAAAACTGAAAATATAAAAATTTAAATAAAAGCCAATTTTTTTTGTTTTTTTTAAATGAAAGCATATGTGATTTGCACATTACAGAAAAAAAAATTTAAAACTTAAAAAGAAAATATTGTGAATCTTGTAATTAAACACATAGAAACATAAAATAATAAATATAAAATAATAATAATAATAATAACAGCTATTTAGTTTTAATTAATTATATATATGAAGTGCTCTAAAATTTCCAGGTAGATGGCTGCGTTGACTGTGGACTTCAGAAAACACAGTGGACCAACACCAGCAGATGACATGGCATCCCAAATCATCACAGACTGTGGAAACTTCACACTGGACTTCAAGCAACATGGTTTCTGTGCCTCTCCACTCTTCCTCCAGACTCTGGGACCTTGATTTCCAAATGAAATGCAAAATTTACTTTGCAAATTACCACACACACACAAACACACACACACACACACACAAATAATCATAAATAAAAATATGTATAATAATCAATGTATAATAAAAATGGTCCCTATAACTCATGCACTATATTTTGCTATATTTCAGAAGGAAAAATTCCATTTCACACATTTAAGAGCCAGCAAAATAACTGGACATTGATAAAACAATTGCTAATGCAACAAAATATTGCTTTATTTATGCATGTACAGATGCTTTCACCAAAGTGACTTACATTGCATTCAAACTACAGTATACTTTTTTTTTTTTACTTTATGCCTTCCCTGGGAATTGAACCCATGACCTCTGCGTTGCTAGCTGTATGCTTGACTGTTTGAGCTACTATATTAGTTGCATACATGCTGATTTCAATCCAATTTATCAGAATAATGTTTGTGAATGGAAAACGGTGTAGGTGTAGCAACGGCATCTACCAGCGAGGGCAACAAGGTCATGCAACCGAGCCAAACCTCGACGCCTTGAAGTTTTAAGCATTTCTTGAAAGCGTGGTTTGTGCATGTCATTTTTTTCTGGATGTTGTGCTCAGACATGAGAGGAGCGTTTCCTCACTGATTAATGATGGGGTCAGCACTGGTCAGTATATTTAGTCGAGTGGACAAACGGAGGGTTGGTCAGCGTGTTGAAGGTGTGCAGTTCAAACACAGGACAATGTTTGCTCACAGTAAGACCCTCAGTGTTTCTCCAGGCCCCGCTTTACTCCTAAAACAACTCACCCCGGACAGAAATAATCTCAGAAGGGAGGAAAGATTAATGCAGACAGCACATATCTTACATGCAAAACTTTATGAATAATTATAATATATTTTCTGTACACAAAAATATAATTTTCAGTAATAAAACTTAATGAAATTGTTTAAAAGAATTAGAATAAAAAAGAATTGATAGATTTTATAAAGAAATTTTGCCTGTGCAAAACCGCCAACACAATGTTAGTGTGTTGTGGGTGGTTGCAAGGGCGTTGCTAAATCTTAAAAAATTAATATAAATAAAATAAAATAGAAAAAACTAAATAATAAAATAAAATCTTAAAATATAATAAAAATCTAATAAAATAAAATAAAAATCTTAAAATAACAAAAAGTATAATAATACAAAAATATATGAAGTAAAATAAAATCTAAAAAATCTAACAAAATAATAAAATAAAATAAAATAAACCGGATTAAATATAATAAAAAAAATCAAATCAAATGCAATAAAATATTTTAAAAAATTAAATAAAAATA